GGTTCTCACAGTTGCGATCTCGCAGGAAAAAAAACATTACGCCGGGAGGTACGTGCTCCGTTATTCAAGGGGGGCGCTTCTTTTGTCGCTTCCTCGCAGCAAACCTCGGGGGACTTTATAGTCTTGGCACGGCTTCGCGCAGTGCGTCACCACCGGGCTCGCTGTGTGCTGGGTACGCGTCTCCTACCTCTGTCCCCGGCGTGATGGCTCCACCGACCATGACGCCGGCAGCCAAACCCCAGGTGTCGGCTGTGCCTCGAGTGACTGCAACGTGTGCAAAGCAGCAGACCCCAGTATCCAAACCCGCGCCAGTACCGACAACACCGGCAACCAACGCAGCAGCATTACCATTCGCCCGTATGATCGCGAGCGTGTGACGTAGTTGTGTGTTTGAGGTCGGATGTATGACAAGCTTCGCAATGGGGCGAGACTAAGTATGATATGATAGTGTAGACAAAAGCTGGTTTTGGCGCAGTGTGGCCGAAGCTAAAGACATCGCGGACGAAAGGAATATAACACCAATCGCAGAGGTGAAAACACACCCAGCGCAGCGCGGCATTTGCCGTCTGCAGCACTGCCAGCGGTTGACGCACCAACGAGCCGCGAGCCCTGTATCGAGGCAGCGAGCCGGGCTAAGCCCTCAACCATGCGATGGTTCGTGCACCAGCACGCACACACAACCACCGAAACGTGTGATGCCCATCGGGTGTCATTGGTTAGAGAGAGCCACAAAGAGAGCCGTTCTCGTCAGTGCCGACTTGCATTTCCGGTGGTCTCTGCTCGATGCACCTTGCTGGGTACGGTAAAGAAGGATCCTTGAAGCATGCAAAGAAAACACTTTTCCAGCCCATTTTCCAGTGGTGACACGTCCCGACGCAACGCACAACAAAGACACGCAATGTCGGCTCGTAGTATTTAACAGAACCAAGCACTCTTCTCATCTGATTTTCACAAAAAGCGCTTTCTTCAGCACTTTTCTGAGATGTGGCAGCAATAAAAATGTGACGGGACTGCACCGATTAATAAAAGTTGCTTTTCCAAGCACCTTGACATGAATTCGGTGAGGACGCACACAGCGATACGCGCGTTTAACACGTCGACTGCGGAGATGTTGTTGACAATGATATTTCACTCGGGTGTATTCAGCTGCTAGCGGCAAGTGACGTTAAATGGGCTCAAGTTTGCTCAACCGATTTCCGACATCATGTCGAGCGGTATAGTTTATCGGCCTGTACTGCTGCGCTTTGTTCACTGTCATTCCTATCATGGCATGCTCAACGATCTTAACCAGCAACAAAGCAAAACCATTTCAAAATACCTACTTCTTTCGAAATTGATCAGGGTGTTTCAAACATCCTTGGGAATTCCAATGGAATCCTCCATTAAAAAGCCCTTGCTCGAATGTACATAGGTAGATCACTGATCCAGTCCGACGGCAGTGTCCACTCAATTGACACAGGCAAAGCGATCATGACTAAAAGAGATAAAAATACTTTTTTACAGATGGAAATCGTCAAATCACAGAGAGGACGTTGTTTTCACAGAGCGCATGGAAAGGTACCCTGTCTTCTCAAATCACATATGGAAATCAATGATGAATTAGAATTTGGAGAAAGAGGACATTAACAAACTTCCCATTTTAATTATTTATATACTATTAATATTACATATTTTGTCAACTTCGTAAATTCCAGGCAGAACTATTAATTCCAGCATCTCTAATCCACACGGGCAACTACAAATACAGAAAATGTATTAGATTAAAAGATTTGTACTGGGTCTCACTATGCTAGCTGTAACGCGCGTATATCTGCCGGCAGAATTGTACTTGCTGCCACTATACTACTGACTACAGGCAGATTGCTACTTGGTGTCAGTATACTAGTCAAAGTGTCCGTCAAAGGTGCCGGCAAATTTGTACTGGGTCTCACTATGCTAGCTGTAACGCGCGTATATCTGCCGGCAGAATTGTACTTGCTGCCACTATACTACTGACTACAGGCAGATTGCTACTTGGTGTCCAGTATACCAGTCAAAGTGTCCGTCAAAGGTGCCGGGCAAATTTGTACTGGGTCTCACTATGCTAGCTGTAACGCGCGTATATCTGCCGGCAGAATTGTACTTGCTGCCACTATACTACTGACTACAGGCAGATTGCTACTTGGTGTCAGTATACTAGTCAAAGTGTCCGTCAAAGGTGCCGGCAGATTTGTACTGGGTCTCACTATGCTAGCTGTAACGCGCGTATATCTGCCGGCAGAATTGTACTTGCTGCCACTATACTACTGACTACAGGCAGATTGCTACTTGGTGTCAGTATACCAGTCAAAGTGTCCGTCAAAGGTGCCGGCAGATTTGTACTGGGTCTCACTATGCTAGCTGTAACGCGCGTATATCTGCCGGCAGAATTGTACTTGCTGCCACTATACTACTGACTACAGGCAGATTGCTACTTGGTGTCAGTATACCAGTCAAAGTGTCCGTCAAAGGTGCCGGCAGATTTGTACTGGGTCTCACTATGCTAGCTGTAACGCGCGTATATCTGCCGGCAGAATTGTACTTGCTGCCACTATACTACTGACTACAGGCAGATTGCTACTTGGTGTCAGTATACTAGTCAAAGTGTCCGTCAAAGGTGCCGGCAGATTTGTACTGGGTCTCACTATGCTAGCTAATACGCGCGTATATCTGCCGGCAGAATTGTACTTGCTGCCACTATACTACTGACTACAGGCAGATTGCTACTTGGTGTCAGTATACCAGTCAAAGTGTCCGTCAAAGGTGCCGGCAGATTTGTACTGGGTCTCACTATGCTAGCTGTAACGCGCGTATGTCTGCCGGCAGAATTGTACTTGCTGCCACTATACTACTGACTACAGGCAGATTGCTACTTGGTGTCAGCATAATACTCATCAAAGTGTCCCGTCAAAGGGGGCCGGCAAATTTGTACTGGGGTCTCACCATGCTAGCTTAAAAAAGCGCGTTAAATCTGGCGGCCAAAATGTTAATTGCTGCCCATAAAACTAATGGAATCAAGGGCCAAATGCCTATCTGGGTGGTCCGTAAAATACATCCCAAATGTTCCCTTCCAAGGTGCCGGCCGAATTTGTACTGGGTCTCACTATGCTAGCTGTAACGCGCGTATATCTGCCGGCAGAAATGTACTTGCTGCCACTATACTACTGACTACAGGCAGATTGCTACTTGGTGTCAGTATACCAGTCAAAGTGTCCGTCAAAGGTGCCGGCAGATTTGTACTGGGTCTCACTATGCTAGCTGTAACGCGCGTATATCTGCCGGCAGAATTGTACTTGCTGCCACTATACTACTGACTACAGGCAGATTGCTACTTGGTGTCAGTATACCAGTCAAAGTGTCCGTCAAAGGTGCCGGCAGATTTGTACTGGGTCTCACTATGCTAGCTGTAACGCGCGTATATCTGCCGGCAGAATTGTACTTGCTGCCACTATACTACTGACTACAGGCAGATTGCTACTTGGTGTCAGTATACTAGTCAAAGTGTCCGTCAAAGGTGCCGGCAGATTTGTACTGGGTCTCACTATGCTAGCTAATACGCGCGTATATCTGCCGGCAGAATTGTACTTGCTGCCACTATACTACTGACTACAGGCAGATTGCTACTTGGTGTCAGTATACTAGTCAAAGTGTCCGTCAAAGGTGCCGGCAGATTTGTACTGGGTCTCACTATTCTAGCTACAGTGCGTGTATATCTGCCGGCAGAATTGTACTTGCTGCCACTATACTACTGACTACAGGCAGATTGCTACTTGGTGTCAGTATACCAGTCAAAGTGTCCGTCAAAGGTGCCGGCAGATTTGTACTGGGTCTCACTATGCTAGCTGTAACGCGCGTATATCTGCCGGCAGAATTGTACTTGCTGCCACTATACTACTGACTACAGGCAGATTGCTACTTGGTGTCAGTATACTAGTCAAAGTGTCCGTCAAAGGTGCCGGCAGATTTGTACTGGGTTTCACTATGCTAGCTGTAACGGGCGTATATATGCCGGCAGAATTGTACTTGCTGCCACTATACTACTGACTACAGGCAGATTGCTACTTGGTGTCAGTATACTAGTCAAAGTGTCCGTCAAAGGTGCCGGCAGATTTGTACTGGGTCTCACTATTCTAGCTACAGTGCGCGTATATCTGCCGGCAGAATTGTACAACCTATAAGTACACTAATAGATGTTCCATGTACTCATGCTATCTTGAATGCACTATCAATAGCAATCTATGAGGATGAATGATCTTCCTTTAGATTTACCACATTATCGAATTTACCTCAGAGATCTCAATACAAAGACCGGAATTATGTTTGTTCATGAAGCAGTTTGGAAGTTCGCAGAGACGGATGGCAATCGTTACGCTAAACTGCAAGCCTCATCGCGGAAACTGTTAACAGGCGCACCTCTTAAAATCGCCGATTCGAAATGGCTAGTAGGACGAGGGGGTACCCGCTTACGTGAGGCCTGGCTATCACTCCCTCCGTTTTTTGTGGGGTCTCTTATCCGGAAAGGTTTCTCTACGGGCGGATCTTTCTTCGAGCAAAATACCTAGTGTGTCTTTAACAGCCATGAGATGAACACATGAGCCCAGTTTGAACATAGTTCTACAATCGCAAAGTCCGTTCTCAGCTGTCACAATCCATCCCAAAGTACACTGTTCTTCAGCTTCAAGTTCCTGGTCAGTTGTGGTTTCAATCTCTTCATCAGTTGTTTTCTTTTTTCGAGTATCGGTAGGAGCTCCTTTTAGTTGTTGAACACGAAATTCTCCCATACTGTGCCCCGATTCCAGAAGAAAAGCAATTTTCATGCGAGCTGAACTAGTAATGG